ATAAAATACTCATAAAAGTTTCACTTTAGTCGCGCTTGGAATTCACATACAACTTTTTTAAATAAAAGTGTACATTTTCGTTTTATCTTTATCTTTATCTTTATCTTTATCTTTATCTTTATCTTTATCTTTATCTTTATCTTTATCTTTATCTTTATCTTTATCTTTATCTTTATTTACAAACTTCAAATGAAAATATCTTGCGAAAATTACCTGATCTAGAAAAACGGTATACAGAGCCGTAATCTACGACCCAAAATTAAGTTTACGTGTTTCTGCGTTTCGCAAGTTTTTAAGTCACCAAAGTTCGAGTCTTGGTTATGACACTGACAGGGTGCTTGTTACCATGAATCTACATATATGATTGATTACAAGCTATGTATCCCTCGAGCTACACTTCAATAAACACATGCACGCATACATATGTATGTATATGTATTTGCAATATACAAGAACTGCAGTGCTGCATTAACAAAGTAAGAGATCATAAAGTTCGCAATTTAATCGGCAGGTGATTAATCAAAAACTTGTCGTTTCCTTATTTTGATGCACCGGCAATAATGTGCAAATTTATATATTTAGTAAATATATTTAGTTCAGCAAACAAATACACAGAGAGGGTAGGAAATAACTCTAAATAATAAATACATATGTACATATGTATATGTATGTATGTACTCAATTGAAATTCATATCTCACAACAATTTATGTCAGTGAAGGGCATCATGCTTATGAAAGATATGTACCTCCGAAATTATCCTATTGATCATTCTATGCGGTATTAAAAATGATTATCGTGAATGGATCACTCCACTTCTACAATGATGGTTCAATACTATAGAACACAAGTAAGGGGTTGGGGTTTCCTCTGCCCAGTTGGGGCTGAAAAGACCAAAGCAGCACATGGCCCAGTATGCTAGCTCTGCAGGAGCAGACCACTCCTTCCAAAAAAAAATCCTGATATTATAAAAAGGCGAGAAAAATTTAAGCACTAACAAAAAACACACAGAAAAAATAGCACATGAAAACATCTCAAACGAAGGGTATGATGCACTTCTGCGTTCCAAACACAGAACTTTGTCGCATTTGGTGGTATTACAAATAAGTGTTAAGCATAGCATACCGACAGTACTTCTAACTAACTCGAAAGCTGTGTTGAGTGCACCAGAAATTGTCAGATATATGTGTTTATTTCAGTCACTTTAATAAAACTGCTTTATTGTACTCTCAATATTTCCCTATACAATATCGACGGCTGAGTGGAAGATCGACCTATCTCGGTAGTCGGTTTGAAAAATCCCAAAAAATGTCTCAAGAAGGCCCTACTTCGGAATTTGGTTGCAGAACGCTTTATCTCAGCATTTGACTGAAAAATGACGTATCTCAGAATTTGTTTCAAAAATCTCAACCTAAAATACATTGAAAATAAGTTGATACAGAGCGTTTTTCAAATGAAAAGTGCAATAGGGCGTGATTGAATCAAATTCTGATTCTTCTTCAACCATATTCTGAAATAGAACGTTCTTGAAAAATTTTCTGAGACAGAGCGTTTCCGAACCGGGTGCCAAGATACTCGTAGGTCGGTATTTCTCTCAGCCGCCGAAATATGCATGTATATTACAGTTTTGCATACTTTTTTCCGTCGCCTTATACACTAGCACCAGATAAACAAAGCTGTGGATGCCTACATACATACATACTAGTAGGTATGAATCAGACAAGCACATCAAATGTAGTCCCCTGATTTGAAAGCTAATTGAATGCGCTGCCATGTAGTTAGTGGCACTGGGTAGCTCCGTCTAGTATAAAATAAATTAAC